TGGGGGAACTGAGAAAAAACCCTTTGAGGTACACAGCTAATGTTAGAATGACCCAACTTTGAGCTATACAACTGATTTTAGGTTGACTCAACTTTGAGATTTACAGCTGATGTTAGATTGACTCAACTTTGAGGTATACAGCTGATGTTAGATTGACTCAACTTTGAGGTATTCAGCCGATGTTAGATTGACTCAACTTTGAGGTATTCAGCTGTTGTTAGATTGACTCAACTTTGAGGTATTCAGCTGTTGTTAGATTGACTCAACTTTGAGGTATTCAGCCGATGTTAGATTGACTCAACTTTGAGGTATTCAGCTGTTGTTAGATTGACTCAACTTTGAGGTATTCAGCTGTTGTTAGATTGACTCAACTTTGAGGTATATAGCTGATGTTAGATTGACTCAACTTTGAGGTATTCAGCTGTTGTTAGATTGACTCAACTTTGAGGTATTCAGCTGTTGTTAGATTGACTCAACTTTGAGGTATTCAGCCGATGTTAGATTGACTCAACTTTGAGGTATTCAGCTGTTGTTAGATTGACTCAACTTTGAGGTATTCAGCTGTTGTTAGATTGACTCAACTTTGAGGTATTCAGCCGATGTTAGATTGACTCAACTTTGAGGTATTCAGCTGTTGTTAGATTGACTCAACTTTGAGGTATTCAGCCGATGTTAGATTGACTCAACTTTGAGGTATTCAGCTGTTGTTAGATTGACTCAACTTTGAGGTATATAGCTGATGTTAGATTGGCTCAACTTTGAGGTATTCAGCTGATGTTAGATTGACTCAACTTTGAGGTATACAGCGGATGTTAGATTGACTCAACTTTGAGGTATTCAGCTGTTGTTAGATTGACTCAACTTTGAGGTATTCAGCTGTTGTTAGATTGACTCAACTTTGAGGTATTCAGCCGATGTTAGATTGACTCAACTTTGAGGTATACAGCGGATGTTAGATTGACTCAACTTTGAGGTATTCAGCCGATGTTAGATTGACTCAACTTTGAGGTATACAGCGGATGTTAGATTGACTCAACTTTGAGGTATTCAGCTGTTGTTAGATTGACTCAACTTTGAGGTATTCAGCTGTTGTTAGATTGACTCAACTTTGAGGTATTCAGCCGATGTTAGATTGACTCAACTTTGAGGTATATAGCTGATGTTAGATTGACTCAACTTTGAGGTATTCAGCCGATGTTAGATTGACTCAACTTTGAGGTATTCAGCCGATGTTAGATTGACTCAACTTTGAGGTATACAGCGGATGTTAGATTGACTCAACTTTGAGGTATTCAGCCGATGTTAGATTGACTCAACTTTGAGGTATTCAGCTGTTGTTAGATTGACTCAACTTTGAGGTATTCAGCTGTTGTTAGATTGACTCAACTTTGAGGTATTCAGCTGTTGTTAGATTGACTCAACTTTGAGGTATTCAGCCGATGTTAGATTGACTCAACTTTGAGGTATTCAGCTGTTGTTAGATTGACTCAACTTTGAGGTATTCAGCTGTTGTTAGATTGACTCAACTTTGAGGTATATAGCTGATGTTAGATTGGCTCAACTTTGAGGTATTCAGCTGATGTTCGATTGACTCAACTTTGAGGTATACAGCGGATGTTAGATTGACTCAACTTTGAGGTATTCAGCCGATGTTAGATTGACTCAACTTTGAGGTATTCAGCTGTTGTTAGATTGACTCAACTTTGAGGTATTCAGCTGTTGTTAGATTGACTCAACTTTGAGGTATTCAGCTGTTGTTAGATTGACTCAACTTTGAGGTATTCAGCTGTTGTTAGATTGACTCAACTTTGAGGTATTCAGCTGTTGTTAGATTGACTCAACTTTGAGGTATTCAGCTGTTGTTAGATTGACTCAACTTTGAGGTATTCAGCTGTTGTTAGATTGACTCAACTTTGAGGTATATAGCTGATGTTAGATTGACTCAACTTTGAGGAATACAGCTGATGTTAGATTGACTCAACTTTGAGGAATACAGCTGATGTTAGATTGACTCAACTTTGAGGTATAGAGCTGATGTTAGATTGACTCCGTCAAATTGGAATTAGATTCACAATAAATGTTTGATTGATACTTTTGACCTTGAGTTTCACAGCTGATGTCAGATTAAATCAACTCTGAGTTTCACAGCTGATGAGAGATTAACTCAACTCTGAGTTTCACAGCTGATGAGAGATTAATTCTACTAATCAGGTGTAAAGCTGATATCAGATTGACTCAATTTAAGGGTCTTTCGAGTCCAAGTGACTGACCCACAATAGAGTTATAGGGGTCAATACGATTTATAGGGGTACAGTAGGTAGTGGGACAGTGTTAACTATAATAACCAGTATACTACACTGTAGACCCTGAATGTTGATTTCATATCTAACATTCTCTAACTTTCAAAATGTGGCATCAAAATGAGGATTAAACCAGAAGATGATTTTATTCTCATCAATGTCATTTATTTGTGATGTCATAATAGGACTTCTGTAAAACCATTACTGTACAACTACAGTACAGTTTCTTCAGGCCACCCCGTGACCTTTCTTGGCCAAAGAATGTGGTGCTGTTTCTTGTCTGCAATCCAATAAAACATTCTAGACATTAGGATCTTCCTGTACTATCTTACAGCTGAGCCAGGCATTAGTATTGAGGCAGACATGTATAAACTATCATAGACACAGCTATTAACAAGAAATACAAATGTGAAACTGCAGGTCTTCTCTGGAGATTGTGTGAACTATAAAAGAGATGGCTGTATACAATTGATCACTTCAAAAACAGGCTGCCTCACACAGTGTTTATTCGCTGTGTTAGGCTTGTAGTATACATTGTACACGGTTCTACATCAGCAGTAGTCTATAATGGAACACAGTGTTTATTCGCTGTGTTAGGCTTGTAGTATACATTGTACGATTCTATATCAGCAGTAGTCTATAATGGAACACAGTGTTCATTCGCTGTGTTAGGCTTGTAGTATACATTGTACACGGTTCTACATCAGCAGTAGTCTATAATGGAACACAGTGTTTACTTGCTGTGTTAGGCTTGTAGTATACATTGTACGCGGTTCTGACATCAGCAGTAGTCTATAATGGAACACAGTGTTTACTTGCTGTGTTAGGCTTGTAGTATACATTGTACGCGGTTCTGACATCAGCAGTAGTCTATAATGGAACACAGTGTTTACTTGCTGTGTTAGGCTTGTAGTATACATTGTACGCGGTTCTGACATCAGCAGTAGTCTATAATGGAACACAGTGTTTACTTGCTGTGTTAGGCTTGTAGTATACATTGTACGCGGTTCTGACATCAGCAGTAGTCTATAATGGAACACAGTGTTTACTTGCTGTGTTAGGCTTGTAGTATACATTGTACGCGGTTCTGACATCAGCAGTAGTCTATAATGGAACACAGTGTTTATTCGCTGTGTTAGGCTTGTAGTATACATTGTACGCGGTTCTGACATCAGCAGTAGTCTATAATGGAACACAGTGTTTATTCGCTGTGTTAGGCTTGTAGTATACATTGTACGCGGTTCTGACATCAGCAGTAGTCTATAATGGAACACAGTGTTTATTCGCTGTGTTAGGCTTGTAGTATACATTGTACGCGGTTCTGACATCAGCAGTAGTCTATAATGGAACACAGTGTTTATTCGCTGTGTTAGGCTTGTAGTATACATTGTACGCGGTTCTGACATCAGCAGTAGTCTATAATGGAACACAGTGTTTATTCGCTGTGTTAGGCTTGTAGTATACATTGTACGCGGTTCTTACATCAGCAGTAGTCTATAATGGAACACAGTGTTTACTTGCTGTGTTAGGCTTGTAGATATATACATTGTACGCGGTTCTACATCAGCAGTAGTCTATAATGGAACACAGTGTTTACTTGCTGTATTAGGCTTGTTGTATACATTGTACGCGGTTCTACATCAGCAGTAGTCTATAATGGAACACAGTGTTTACTTGTTGTGTTAGGCTTGTAGTATACATTGTACGCGGTTCTACATCAGAAGTAGTCTATAATGGAACACAGTGTTTACTTGCTGTGTTAGGCTTGTAGTATACATTGTACGATTCTATATCAGCAGTAGTCTATAATGGAACACAGTGTTTATTCGCTGTGTTAGGCTTGTAGTATACATTGTACGCGGTTCTACATCAGCAATAGTCTATAATGGAACACAGTGTTTACTTGTTGTGTTAGGCTTGTCGTATACATTGTACGCGGTTCTACATCAGCAATAGTCTATAATGGAACACAGTGTTTACTTGCTGTGTTAGGCTTGTTGTATACATTGTACACAGGCTGGCGAGTAATTCAAAAGATGTTGGGGAGAAAAAAGTTCAATATTCCACCAATTAAATGCAATTATTCATAGAAATGAACTATTAACCTTGCCGAATGACATTGTTGTTTGTTGATATTTTAACCCATTCACCCCTGGAATTTCATAATGGACTATTAAATTAAGTCTTTGAATTTGAAGGGTTCAAATGTGTCTTCTGGGCTGAATGAGTTAATTAAAATATGAACAAGACTTAGTTGTCAGTGAATGAAAAGCTTACATTGTTGTTCATATTGATAGTTTAGCAAGACAAAATTTATGTTTGTTATTTGTTAACAGTTGACTGTTTGGTATGAAGAAGATTTGTCTTACATTTGTTTGTTTTTAAAAGAAACTGATGTTTGTTGACAGTTTGGTATGAACTGATTCTGATGTTTGTTGATAGTTTGGTATGAACTGATTCTGATGTTTGTTGACAGTTTGGCATGAACTGATTCTGATGTTTGTTGATAGTTTGGTATGAACTGATTCTGATGTTTGATGATAGTTTGGTATGAACTGATTCTGATGTTTGTTGACAGTTTGGTATGAACTGATTCTGATGCTGATGTTTGTTGATAGTTTAGTTTGAACTAATTCTGATGCTTGTCGGTTGTTGACATTTAGGTATGAACTGATTCTGATGTCTGTTGTTTGTTGACAGTTTGGTATGAACGAAAAGCTGATGTTTGATGACTTTAAGCAATGGACTCATCGCCACAGTCCACACATCTTCTTTGGGGTTCACAACTGGGTCTACACCATCATGACTGGCTCCAAGATGCCGGAGGAACAGGTAGGAAATTTCGCTTAAAATAGCCATCTAAAATTGTATATAACGTACCTCATTTTACACTATTCTTAGACTTGTTTTGACGCACATTTAAGGTGCATATAGGATACCATTAAGTCTTTCAGATGACAAATTGTTTACCCCCATAAAGATGACGAGAGCTGGAAATCCAAAACAGCTATGAGTAATCTGTCTATCCAAGTGCTTTTCTTTAAGGTGACACATATATTGCTTTGTAACAAAAATTTCAAGAACAAATCAATTATGATAAATATACCAGGAAAACTTGAATTTGTTTTCTCTTGCAGGAATTCCATGTCCCTGAATATTAATAAATGACCTAAGGTGTAAATAGGACCTTCAACCCTATACATTGTAAAACCAAACTATGTCCCTGTGCCCCTCTTATGAGGATTGTCAGAGTTACACATATCTTGTGGATTACATTTGTGTTAACTTTTGTAGGACGTCCATGCCCCTGTACCCCTCCTTGAGAAATTTGTAGAGGGCAAGTACTGCATGTGTATGGGGATGTTATGGGCACTGTCCACAGTTCTCCCACCCTCATACACCCACACAGACAGCAAGGAGGAGGGTAGCGAGCATCCGTCAACCTCCACCAAAAACCCACTCCTCACATCTTACATGATCATCATGAAACTTGTAAGTATACACCCTAGCCTGGCTTCACATTTAGAAGTATCACCCCAAGTCTATCTCCAAACTTGTAAGTATACACCTTACCTAGCCTGGCTTCACATTTAGAAGTATCATCCCAAGTCTATCTCCAAACTTGTAAGTATACACCCTAGCCTGGCTTCACATTTAGAAGTATCATCCCAAGTCTATCTCCAAACTTGTAAGTATACACCTTACCTAGCCTGGCTTCACATTTAGAAGTATCATCCCAAGTCTATCT